TGTGTATGGAGGTCAAGGGTCACTGAACTTACCAAACCAAATTTGAGTTCCAGTAATTGGTTCTAAAGGTTTTGAAATCAATAAAACAACAGTACCCAAATTTATGCACCTGCCTCATTTTGTTTAACCAATTATTGCACACTTTCTATAAATCATATAAACTTCATTTCACTTCTCAAATATCACTGTGTTTGTCCCCTATATGGTATATTTAACTGATTTTTTTATCGAAACAATCAGTGATTTATTAAGGTAAATCAGGAAAATTAACAAGGCTGCCCAAACTTTCGCACCTCACTGTATCTGTCTCTGTTCATCTGTCTGTCCCTGTCCGTTTGTCTCTGTCCTGTTTCTGTCTGCCTGTCTCTTGAACCCTGGTCACACAGCCTCCAACTTCAGATGATCTGCACAAATCTGTTTTAGTTCTGTTTCCACTCATCAGCATCAAACGTCACAGCTGACAGAGAGAAATGTTTCTCACAGACTGGAGATAATCAAATGCCCCCTGAGAAGAAACATTTGGCCACAATAAAAGCTAAACTCTAAAMAATGCAGTCAATTGTTTCCTGTGAACATAGATCATCATCTTCATCTGGGAGTTCACTGGCTGTGACAGTCTCCTCATAATCTCAACTATCAAGCTCTCATTCAGATTAGACAACAAACATTTACAAAGTTCTTGTTTTTAGGATTATACAAGCTATGAACCTCTAGAATTAGCCTCATCCTTTCAGCTTGTTTTTTAAAGGTTGTCTGTGTTTTCACTGAGCCGCTTATAAATTCTCTGTTATGATCAAGTTATTGAGTAATGTTGTTACTGCTGTGCTCTCAAGTGGCAATTTCTTTCTTGCTAAGAGTTTTCATCCCACAATCCATCATTCCCATCGCAGCAGAAACATTTCWTGGAATAATTGCCATTAGGTGGATGGAGATGAAACGTTCTCGGTCCTTTCTGAGGCGTTTGGGTGGATTTTATGTGAGGAGACTACAACTCACGACAAAGAGACTTTAAGATTTGTTTTTGATTCGTTTTGCCCTAATAGGTGGTGGAAGTTGTGAAAATCCAGACTCGGAGCTCGAACCTGGTGAGACGGCTCCATAGATTCAATAATCTGATTTCTGTCTCCACAGGAACACGAGCTGAGAAAGATACTTCTCACTCGCTACTTTGGACATGAAAAGCTTCTCTCCAAGTCGGAGCTTGGTGGTGGAAGCGGTTCATCTGGAGTCTTTGTCAAGCCGTCATCAGGAGGTACTGAAAACCCCAAATAAACCCAGCAGACACTGAAATAACAGCAGAGGAAGCAAAAGCTGCTGATATGACAGCAATCTGCTTCCAAGGAGTTGTGCTGTTGAGGAAATGCTGGTTGGCGTTAAACCAGGTTAAAGCGGATCCTTTACAGTAAATGTGTATTTTAAGACATGCAAATATTGAGGCTTCCTATCTAAAGAAGACACTTCTGTTCATTCTAATTCTAAAAATTATGTTTTGGTTTTGAAAAAAAAAACAGTTTGAGCTCTGAGCATGATCAGCTGCTCATAACAGTTCTTTGTCGCATCTTATAAACACTTTATATAACAGTTTGTTTGCTTTTTTTAGTTCTCAGATTTCTTCAAAAAGGCTTCTGGTCATAGAGGCAGTGCTGTTTGAAGTTCTGTTTGCAGAACAATAAAACCTTCAACATTCACTCCTTTTAAATAGGATTAGTATTCTGCTGCAGAYGGCATCTTTTACCACGTCTTTTCATTTTAGAGCGACGTTTGTTTTGAAAATCTGATTTATTTAAATCTATTATTCCTTTTTATCAATAAACGTTTGACGTTCTTCTGGATGCAACACAGGATCAAACCATGATTGTTCCTCTTCTGTGTTTACCAGTTAGTTTTGTTGAACTGAAATCAAAGAGAAAAGTTATTCTGAACTTTAMCAGATGGTGCACTTTAAAAGTTTGTAATACTGAAATACAGGTTTCACTTAATGTAAACAAAACACTACCTGCATACTTTACTAAACAAATCTGAGTATAGACACTTAWTAAAACATCAAAAATGTGGAACTTGATATTTTGTGGTTGTTGCCACTGCRGATCTATTTATTTAGACTATTTTTGTAGTTTAACAACCTATGTGATAGTTGGCAGCCATTTAAAAATTTCCTTGTAAAAGTGAGAAAAAAAGATGTGTGGATTTTGTTGTCTGGTCTTTTGTTGTCTTCATGACTTAAGACTCGAGTTCCTTTTTTGAGTCTGACATGCAAATACTAATAAAAAAGTCAATAAAAGCGTCTTTATGTTTAAAAAAACTCGGCATAATACATGATTTTACTCATTTTGTCACATAGCAGGGTTATCATACTTTTGAACTTAGGCTAGCCAAAGTGAAACAGGAAGTGACATCAAACGGGGATTCTTTAAGAAAAGGAACTTTCTGGTTTTTGTTTATTAAAATAATATTATTTGAACTCCCTTTTTCATCTCTGATAGTGATTCAAAACAATCTAAAGTCTCATCTGTCATTGTAGCACTGCTCTGTTCACATTCAGACATTCCCCTCTGACATCACTTCCTGTTCCTTCCCATGTGAATATCTCCACAACTGTTCATCTCAGCCGTGTGACATATTTTTTGCAACATGTTATCACTGTTATCTTTCCAAAAATGCATTCATATTTGTACAAAAAATTGATGTCACAGACACTTTAAAGGTCTTCAAACCTTATTTTCTAAAAAACATTTGGCCAAATTGTTAAAGTTAGGATGCAGGAAGTCTCGTTCATTTATCTCCAGCTTTGTCTGCAGAGTKGAACAGTCCAGAAAATACTAAATTAATCTGGGTTCTGGGTAATTTTATTGTGACGAACCAGACTTTCAAACAGTTTGTTAAATGTAAAAAAAAATTTAGGCAGAGAGAACAGCTACTCGACAACATTTTACTAAGTCCTTTCATGTATTTGTAGGATCATGATTCAGATTAATTAAATCATAAGKATTTTCTTGAAATTGTTGCATAAACTTTTGCACGAACCTATAAAGTCCAGACTATCCAGATTATTAGTTTACTTTTAAAGGATTAAAAAAAAAGAAAAAAGTATTTTATAGTGTTTTGAAACCTTGTGCATCAGGACAGAAGTATCATTAGCCTGTGTTGTCAAAGCTTTTTTTTGTGCACATGTAATTTAAATCTTGATTATCTTTGTRGGAGGTTCTGCCGTGCTGGACTCTGATAAGCCGGGCAGCAACGTGGTGGAGATCCAGTGCCTCCTGGACAGCGTCGGTGCGACAGAGCTGGTCATCGATCTCATCGTCAACACCAAGAACGACCAGGTGTTCGAGGAGAGCATCCTGCTGGGGATCGCCCTTCTGCAGGGGGGAAACACGCAGATACAGGTGGGCTCCGCGCACTTTTATAATCGAGCATTTCTCAGTTTGTTTCTGGATAATCCATCCTCATCGCTGCGCTGCCTCCCCCCACCCCCGACCAGAACTCCTTCTACCACCAGCTGCACAAGCAGAAGAACTCGGAGAAGTTCTTCAAGGTTTTCTTCGACCGGATGAACCTGGCCCAGCAGGAGATCCGAGCCACCGTGTCCGTCAACATGTTTGAAGTCGGCTGCAGGAAAAACAACGACTGCGACGTCAGCAGCAGGAGGTCTAGGAAAGGTACACTGAAGTGATGACACTGTTGATTGCTAAGAATCGATTAAGCCCAAATTGAAATCCTCAATGTCTGAAACTACATCCTGTAATTAGCTTTAACAGAGTCCTAACACTTGAATGCYGACATTTCTCAGTAGACAAACTGAGTCACATGGGTCAGATCCTGAAACCAGACAGGCATTGCCATAGAAACACCTGGACAGATTAAAAAGTCTRAAAATCTATTGAACCTTTTCAGCTGGCGGGGTCCTGAAGTTCACGCTGGCCCCAGGTTTAAAACAGTCCTGGTGTGTTTTTTTAATGATCTTTGTTGCTCTGCTGACAGACTGCTGCAGTCACATGTCAGAGGACCATGTGACACCCCGGCATCACAAGCTTATCAAAGGCCCATTGTATCGAGATCTGGTGGTTTCGTGGCACAGAACCCCTTCTTAATCGTGCCTCACTTATCAAAGGAGTCTCTAAATTTGATTCATTGTTGCAGGACCGCTAGAAAGTCGGTAACGAAAACACATAAAAAACAAAAAAACGTGTCCCTCCTGCTCCTTTTTTGCATCCATCTGCTGTCAGATCCTGCCGCCCCGTCCAGTAGTTCAACTTCTTGGTGTTATTTTTCACACCTTCTGTGTGCTGCTCTGTAGGGAAAGACGCAGGCCTTCAAATGAGAGAGAACATGCGAGGGCAGCTGAAAGAGGCCTGCTCGGCGACCTCCAAGGCCTTCACTTCCTACAGGAGGGAGGTCGTCTCCGATCTGGAGGCTCTCGGCCAGAGCAGCGAGATATTCGGCACCGAGGAGGTGGCAGAGGAAACGCAGATGAACCAGACCATCGCCATCATGAAACCAGTCCTCCGGTATCTCCAGCTGCTTTGCGAAAACCACAACTCGGACCTGCAGGTATTGGATCTCACCGAAAAGCCTTTCGACATATTTAAACACATCATTTTATGTATTTCTTTTGCTCTTCAGAACTTCCTGCGCAATCAGAGCAACAAGACGAACTACAATCTGGTGTGTGAGACTCTTCAGTTCCTGGACTGCATCTGCGGGAGCACCACCGGAGGTCTCGGTTTGTTGGGACTTTACATCAATGAGGGGAATGTGGATCTGGTGCGCCAAACCCTGGAAACCATTACAGAGTACTGCCAGGGACCCTGCCACGAGAACCAGGTAGGAAAAAAAAACATTAGCTGAGATTAGGAGTTATTTGTTGGACTTAAACAGCAAAACCTTTTTGGAGACGAGTTTCTCTTCATAACTTTCCCGTCTGCAGTTGGACTGAGTGAAAAATATTTTCCAGCGCTGAGTTTTTGGTTCTGTTGGTCGTGTTTAAACACTAAGTGCTGCTTGTCCCCCCGCTGCCTTTCAGACCTGCATAGCCAAGCATGAGTCAAACGGCATCGACATTATTATAGCTCTGATTGTCAATCCCATCTACCCCCTGGGGGAGCATCGACTGGACCTGGTGCTGGAGCTGAAGGTGAGAGGCAGGTGACTCTGGCCAGTGCTCCTCGTAGCATTTGAGACCGAGCACAACTCAACTCAAGTGGATTTTTATCCATTCTTTTATGAAAAATGCCAAAAAAAAATAAAACCTTTGTTCTATTGAACAACCTGTAGTTTGAAAACTGAGACTTGAGCGCTCACCTGCTGGAGTCTGTTGTTGCAGAACAATGCGTCCAAACTTCTGCTGGCCATCATGGAGAGCCGCCACGACAGTGAGAACGCAGAAAAGATTCTCTACAAGATGAGACCCATTGAACTGGTAAGTGTGGATTAACAGCAGATGAAATTAAAACGCTTCCGTCTCGATTTAACCTCCGGTTTAACTCGCATGTTTTCAGGTGGACGCCATGAAGGAAGCCTACACCCAAGATTTGACGACCGAGGACGACGAGGACGGCGTTGGAGATGAAATCGCACCAAGAGACGTTGGACACAACATTTATATTCTGGCCCATCAGGTTGGTACACAAGCATTAGAGCGTTTTTATTGCTGTGTTTGCATGGACCTGTGCTGACCCCGGGGCGGTGCGCTCCAGAACTATAAACTGATAGAAGGCCGTTCCTCTGTGAATGAGCTGCTCTGACAGTTTTCTAAAATTAGTTTTCATAATGTGACACTGGTTTATGTAAGCTGGAAAGGGCAGGCTGAGTCTAGTCTAGCAGGTTTTCACTTCTGCACAGCGTCAGACCACCGACCAGTTTTAACATGATGGAAATGTAGGATGTTTTAGTTTTATTTTTGATGGATTTTGATTTGACAGGAGATGGAAATTTAGAGAAGCAGTTCTATAACCTTTTCAAAAGCGGAACGCTAGCTTTTTGTTAATCATAAAAATAAAGGAATAAGCAGAATAATTAGTTTTATAGGCTTYTTTTTCCTTTTATTAGGCTGAAATATGCTAAGTTTACAAAGGTTTTTTTGCAGGAAATATGAACAAAAACTGCCCAGCATTATTACAAATTTGAAATCCATCTTTACAATCAATTTAAACCTTGACACAAAATTATGAGTTGTAAAATATGCTGCCAAATATTTAGTTTTAGATGTGTCAAAATGGGAGAACAGTTGATTAACATTTGGTATTTTTCTAAGGAGATTATAAGTGGTACAATTTTTTTCCTGTGTGCAAATGAATTTCTACCAGCAATCCTAAATTTATTCTAATAACATTTTTAATCAAAACAACTCCTGAGTTTCAGYCAGTTTAGGGATTTTAAAAAAAAGGTCCTAACTTGTCTCAAACTGTATAGATTTAAAGTTGTCATCCTTATTTTTTGTGTCACTTCAGTAGAAAACGAAACCAAATATTAGTTTATTTAGTTTATTTATTTCTTCATCATCAGTGACTTTTTTAAGTGAAGAGAAAATAGAGACAGAGAGAAAAACAGAGAGAGAAGTAATTAGAAAGATAGAAAGATTGAAATAGCGATTAGAAGTATATTAAATATATACCAACAAAACACAGGACCACACACCCAACATCTGTCCGCTCACCTGAAAAATAAATGGATAAATACATGGAAGGCATATATAAATATATACACATACCCATACATATACAAAGATATACATACATACATGCCTACATTCATAAATATTGTCAGTACATGCACACAGACATATTTACACACTCAGTGACCAGTTAGAACCCCCTGGATCAGAACACCTGTTTGTGAGCAGTTGTGAACATGCGTGTAWATACAAGATTTCTCCAATGGAATATTTAATAGTGACTGTGGAGGATCGGAGACCCAACCCCCAAGACACAAGGCAGACATAGGGAAGACCAGAGCCCAAGGGCCCGAGAGGGATCCCGAGCGCAGAGCCCCAAGGGGCACCCGCACGGGAAGATCCGCCTACCCACCCCCCAGATCAGACCATAGGAGAGAACTGGGAGAGTCCCCCCAGCGACCACACGCACAGCCCCCGGGGCCAGCAGCGACAAACTCATGGGCCCCATCGGCACCCGCCATACCAGAGCAGATCCAGGAAAGGGCACAGAGGTCCGGGGCCCCCAGGGCACACCCCCTCCAGGCCAAAGCCTGACAGGGCCAGAGGCCCCGAGCCCCAGCAGGCAGTCGCCAGGCCAGGCCGGCACACACCCCAGCGCCCAACCCCAGATCCCGGGAACCCCCAGCATGCCGGCGGTCAGCCGCACACCCCACCGGGGGGCCGAGTAGCAGCGGGCCCCAGATAAACCAGCAGGAGGGGCAGCCCAGACCGCAGCCTGACAAATACCCAAACATACACAATCGCACCATCCCACCCTCATCCTCACCCCCACTCAGTCAAAGACATACAAGGACGCCACATTCCACTCATACCCCCGATCCACACTCTATACCCCCCAGGTCCAGGACATGTACCCACCCCCTATTGGAGGCAGCACACACCCAAACCCAGGAGGTAGACCCAATCATTCTGAGGTGGACGGGAGTAGGTAGCCAAGTCCCGGCCCGGGCTGCACCAGGACGCCCGGCCAGCCCCCCGCCACAGAGAAGCCACACCCATGACCACCCCACCACACCGCCAATGACCAAGTGCACTCCCCCAGCTGTCCACCCCCCAGAATCCGACAGTCACCCTGGCCAGGGGGTCACCCACAGGAACCAAGAGCCACTCCTCAGGAGACCAAACAGCACCAGGGAGGATGGAGAGCCAGCCCTGCCCCCGGCAACCGTCCAAGCCCCGAGCCCACCCACAGCCCAGGACCGCACCTGGCGGCCCGCCCTTCTTCAGGACCCCCTCCCCAAATGGCAGCCGAGGAACGGGATGGGAATAAAGACCCCGACACCCACACCCCCACCCCCAGATGTACTGTTGATGTGTGTTGTTCTATAGAGCAATTAAATGGGGTAAGAAGAGGAGGCAGAGGCCTCCGTGGTGCCAGTTTCCCCTCCACCACTACTCTAACCCAAAACCCTAAGTGTCTAAATGCAAACCTTGGGGGTGGGCACAGGCACAGGAGGCGAGAGTGGTGCCATCCGGCCACCTATAGCCATGAGTGCCCACCTTAAGTTCCTATATATGAATTTCATGAAAATGTTATGAGTGAATGTCTAAGATGTACAATAAAATTTGGGGCCCAGGTGGTTATGGCAAATAGAAATTTAATATTGTTGCTCTTATAACACAACTGTGCCCCCCCAAAAAACTCTACATGGGTGAAGTTGAAAGTGAAGAGGATGGAGGTGTGCGGTGAGGGATGGGGGGAATAAGCTGAAGGAGCAAAATGCTCCCACGGGGAGTCGGCTCCCCCGCTGGCCCCAGTAAGTCCTCCCGTTCCCCGAAACCCACCCAGGAAGAGCAGCCCAAKTACCTSTCTCTCCAGGCAAACCGCCAAGCCCACGGAACCCCAGAACATGGACTGACAGGGCCCCGAAGGCCACCAGAAACCGGGACCAACACCCCACCCCCCAGAGCCACCGAGACCCCCAAAACTCGACCCCAGCCCCATAGCTGGCCCGCCACCCYGAGAYGCCACCGTTCCCCAGCAAGGACGACCCGGCCAAGAGCGCCCACCCAACCGCCGACAGAGCAAGGGGGCACCCAGGGCGGGCCCCCGCCACAGCAAAGGGGCCAACCAGCCGGCCCAGCACGGCCCCCAGCCACCACCAAAGGCCACCAACCCAATCCTCACCCCAGAAGACATACTACACCCACCCTTACATTTTCAGCAGCTGTCATCCTAATCTGACGAATCAGTCAGGAAGTTTCATGATGAGACTTTTGTCTGGCCTTGAAAATGAGCTGATGCAACGTGGATGTAACGCCTGGAACTCTGGAACAAACTTTAAAAAAGAAAAACTTTTTATATTTTTATTTATTTTTTTGATGTGCATCTCTTTAAAACTGATCGTCATTTTCAAATTAAAAATACTTTTCAATGATTTTATTTTTTGCTTTTAAAAAGGAATAATAAAAATAAGAAATAGGATGTTAATCTTGTAATTTTGTAATTTTCTTTTGTATCATTTTACAAGGACATTTTGGTAGAACATTAGAATTTAAACTGGGAATATGCGATTTAAATGTAGTTATTATTATTATTATTTTTATTCTCAGTTGGCTCGACACAACAAGTTCCTGCAGCAGAGTTTCCGACCCGGATTAAGATCGGGCCTGGATGCTGAGAAGGACGAAGCTCTTCATCATTACGCCAACCACACAGCTCAGATAGAAGTAAACATCACGTCCATTTAATCTGATCATTTCTGAGACGTGTGGAGAAAAAGAATTTCTCTCTCTTCAGATCGTGCGTCATGACCGCAGCATGGAGCAGATCGTGTTTCCCGTCCCGAACATCTGCGAGTACCTCACCGAGGAGTCCAAGACGCGTGTGTTCACCACCACCGAGCGAGACGACCAGGGCAGTAAGGTCAACGACTTCTTCCAGCAGTTTGACAACCTCTACAATGAGATGAAGTGGCAGAAGAAGATCCGCAGTAAGCCTAAATACAATAAATTAGTTATTGTTTTGTCTTAAAAATGTTAACTGTATAAAGGCAATAAATTTAAGCAAAGATGAGAGAAACAAAAAATAAAGAAGAACCTACAAGGAAAAAATAAGAGTGTCGCTACACTTTCTTTGTAAAGCTCACATCAAAACAAAGTGGGAAGAAGTACTAACTTATTTAAATGTTAAATTTAATATTTAAAATTATGACTGTAACTTTAATTTTACATTTTAGGCATGTTTTAAGGAAACTTTGTTATTTATCATGACATCATATCCGGGGTGGGACCAGGTTTTCTATAAACATTGTGAGAACGTGATGGGCGGCTGCTTTGTTTAGCTCTCCGGAGCCACAGACCGGCTCGGAGGGAAATGGTGTCTTTAGATATGAAAATAAACATTTAACTGACAACTTAATGGGTTTTCTGCGCATGATTCAGGTTTCCAATCAGAACAAGTCATCACAGTATGTTGTTTTTTGTGGTTCCTGCACAGAAAATAAGGCCCTGTTTTGGTTTTCACGCCATATCTCTCTTTGGGGGAGCATCTCCTTCTACCTGGCCTGTATCCTCAACACCGTCGTGGCCGTGTTCTACCCCTTTGGGGACGARGAAGACGAGGGTAATGATTTTTCTTTTCTTTTCTTTTTCTTAATAAGTGACCTCAAATCTTCCATTTTCCAGACCTGCTTGATCAAACGGCCACAGAAAACCAAGCATGCACACCTAGAGCCAATTTAGCGTTGCCCAATAACCCAACATGCRGGTTCTTGGAGCGCAGGAGGAAATTGGGAGTTCCCACAGAAAAACCCAGAGATATCCACGTTTCCAACTCAATACCGTATTGCTGCGAGGCAACTATGCAAACCATCTGCTCCAACCTGCAACTCTGGTCTTAAACCAATGTTCTTTTGGTTGTTTTATTGTGACAGGACGTTCTGTTAATTAATAGATCCTGTTATGTAATAGTGATACATAATAGTCCGTTGATCATGTGCCGATTAAAATGACAAGGTAAATTTACAAAACCCATGCAGCCAATAATAAACTGCATCAAGGAAACAGATCAGAACACATACATACATACGCCACTGTTGTTTTCAAGTGTTTAATATGCTACCATTTTTTTTAAACATTATTTATTAAGGATAGATATTCTAAAATTAACTGAGCCAGATGTATAAGAAACCAGCTGAAAATACCCTTTCTTATTTGACTACAAATTTTATGCAACTTGCTGCAACAATTGTTTCTAAATCCAGCTGCTTTGGGTCCAAACTGTGAACAAAACAGAACTTTAAACTATTGAGAGTTATTTTTGTTCAGCTTTTCCTGTTGCTTCTGGCTAAAGGTAATTCAGTAGCTATTTTGGATACTACATGATGATAATGAAATGACTGGGCCCAAAAGTGCAGTAAAAACATCTTAAATAATCCTTCTTCAGCCTGTTGTTATTATTAATGATCTCTGGGTGTTCACACCTGAAACTGGCTGTCTGGTTATTTAAATGCTCCATATTTCTTTATGTTTTTTCTTCCTCATGCCTCTAATCTGGATTTGAATTTCTATCGTTTGATGTGGGACAGCTTACACTTTAATGGACTTAATGCTCTTGTAGCTCCGCCCAGTTTTACTCTCCATTCAGGCTGGGTCAAAACACCAAATTTTTATTTATTAATTTTTAAACCATTTCAAGTTGAATTCCATGTTGTGTATGTTTTTATCTTATTTTTACAATGAGTTTTGATGGTACGTACATCAGAAATGAATTTATACCGTTAAGTTTGTACGTTTTTGTGTGATGAAGGTTTGTATTTTACCAAAAATGACTCCGGTTTTCATCCCCCAGACCAAAAACGTGCACATCAGGTTAATTAGGTTAATTGGTAACTCTAAATTGTGCCCCGGTGTGAGTGAGAGCGTGAATGATAGTTGGCCAGCTCCCCAATTAKCCAGAAGGAAAAAGCTCTTGATTAATTATCGGTGCATCTCATTTTCCTTCAGAAACACGAGCTCCTCTGCTTGGTTTGCTCGACACTCTGAAGCAGAGAGGCTTGTTTTGAGCACTAAGGTCCCCTCGGACTGTTTGACATTTTTAAGTGTTGCCTTCGGCAGTGTGCGCCAACTTAAGCTCTTAGTTTGAGTGAATAATTTAGTCGAACACTGCTAAGTTTCAAACCTCGTTAACACGGACGGTTTACTCTTTCACCCAGGCATCTTGTCCCCGTTCTGGAGTATCTTACTGTGGGTGGCTCTGGGGGTCTCCACCACCCTACTTCCTGTCCTCCCAAAGCAGTGGGGCATCGTGTTCTTCTTCGTCTCCCTCCTTTTGCGAGCTATCTACACAATGGGCCTGGCCCCTGCTCTGCTGTTGCTCGGTACTATAAATGTAAGTGAAGGATGTTTTTGGTGTTTTATTCCATTAAACTGTTGAATCTGGTTTTCACCTCTAGTTTTTTTTRATTTTCAGCTGTTTAACAAGTTAATCTATCTTGTGAGTTTTGTGGGGAACAAGGGAACGTTCACCCGAGGCTACAAAGCAGTTGTGATGGACATGTTCTTTYTTTACCATTTGGCGTACGCCTTCATCTGCGTCCTGGGCCTCTTTGTTCACGAGTTCTTCTACAGCTTCTTGGTAAGAATCCCTCCGTACGTCGACTAGTTATTAACCAGCTGAAGCTTTTATCACTGGTTAGGATTRGCTGACGATGATCTACTTCCACAGCTGTTTGACTTGGTGATCCGAGAAGAGACGCTGCTGAATGTGATCAAAAGCGTGACGAGGAACGGCCGCTCCATATTTCTGACGGCTATTCTCGCCATCTTCCTCGTCTACTTTTTCTCCATCATCGGCTTCCTCTTCCTCAAGGACGACTTCCGCATGGAGGTGGACCGCCTCCCAGSACCAGGTCAGAACCCAACTTTTTGTTTCCACATGCTAACTGCTTTTTAACACACCGAGCTATGGAGACCAGAAAGTGCCAGGTTTAAAAATAAAAACAGTTAAGCGAATTCATTCTCCTGTTCTAGTAAACAACATATTAAACTGCAGCAGTAGAAAAGTAGACAATGTGCAGTTCAAATCAGACCTGCTGGGAACTTGCAATCTGTGAAATGCTGCATGATGTGTGCTTAGAAAACATAAAATAAATGTATACAAACATATTTCTGCTGTAACCAAAGGGTCAACTTTAGTAGAATTGATAAATATCTCATACAGAGATGTGTTTTGTTAAGTTATGACACTACAGATGATTCTAGAGTTTTTTATGATGATTATAGTGTAATGTTTACGTTATAGACAGTTCCTAAACCCTTAGTTCACTTCTCTTTTAAATAAAAGTATTGTGATTAAATACTTAGGCCTTTAATATAATAAATGTATATTTTGTTATTTTATTTTAATGCAGAGTTAGAAACAAAACACCTAAGGAGATTAAGTTTTTCCTTTAAATAACTGTTTTATGTTTTGCTAATTGTTATTTTATAAACCTTATAAATAAAGTGTTTCCCTTTTAAGAAAAATAAGCAGRGAGAATCTGTTTTTTTTTCTTATATTAGCTCTGCAAGACACACTGGCACATAAACAAACTACAGCACCTGTATATTTTATTACTAAAGTATTAATATTGGCACAAGTTGGGCTCCATACATAAGCTTTAATTTTAGCTTTGATCTTTCTGTTCCTACTTGATTATCGTATGTCACGAGCTCAGTATTTATTCATAAAACAATTACATATTTCAAACAAAGATGAAGAGGCTGTGCTGCATTTTTTGAGGAACTGTTTGTTCAGGCTGGAGGAYCAGAAACAAAGCAGAACTATTAGAAATGGGTGTTACTGTGATTCACAGTATGAGGTTCAACTTCATGCATCCCTTTTTTGTCCTATTGAAGCTGTAAAGAGAGCATTTTATTTATATAGAAAACACCTGTATGTGTCGTGTGCTGCAACACACATTTTTGAATGTCATCCTTGTGACAGAAACAGTAGCATTAAATCCTAACAACTTGCAAGGTAACATTGTAAACTAAAGAATTTGCATTTCCTGCAAAATTGCAGTGTAAATGCTRAATGCTGAAAGGTTTTGCTGAAAGCTGCTGAATTTGCTGAGAAATTTTAACAGCAAATATATATTTATGTTAATGTGTGTTATATTTGAACAGCTGAATTCTGCTGAAAGTAGAACAACAAAAGAAATATTTGAGTAGAAATATAGCAAAAAATGTTAAAGTCTGAAAGGAGAGAAAAAAGCTAAAATTAGCYATAAGCACAAAGTAGGTGAAACAAGTTAAAATTAAGAGACAGATGGGGAAATGAAAATGAAAAWTTTCAAATTAGCAATAAACAAGAAAAGAAGTACTTGCAATTTGTTTTGAAATAGTTKAAATAGCTGAAACTACCCRAAKAATTGTWTAAAAAGTAGCTGAAATTAGCACAACAAAACATAGCACWTTTGCTGAATTAAGCAGTAAAAAGCTAAAAGGATTAGAGTAAGTAAAAAAATGATGTTTGCTCTTGTAAAATATCAAAAAAGCTCAAATTAGCAGAGAAGTAGCTGAAAAGAAGCCAAAAAACTSAATCAAAAACAAAGATGCAGAATGAGCATTTAGTAAGTAGCTGAAATTATCACAAAGATCAATGTAGCTGAAAAAAACATCAGATTAGCTGAAAATGGCAAAAAAGTTGCTAAAATTGTGGGAAACGGCTAAAAGAAGCATAAAACGCTTGAATTAGCRGAAAAAGGCTCATAGAAGCACAAAAAATGTTGTCATCAGAATAGCTGAAAAGCGTAGAAAGATAGGTGAAATTTAAATAAAAGCTAAAATTGACATAAATAAATAAATAAATAAATAAATAAATAAATAAAGAAATAAATAAAAAGCTGAAGGAAGCTAAAATTAGCAAAAAGAAGTTTAAAAAAGCAGAACCAGAGCAAAAGGTAAAAAGTACAGTAAAGATTTATGAATATTTTTGAAGGATTTTAAGGATGATGAAAACAGCTTCCTTCATTTTTTATGAGGAAAAAAAATGATGAAAAAGGCTAAATATCTCAAAGTATAAACTGCTGAAATGCATATTTCACATATTCATAGCTGGAAGGGGATGAACATTTTATATATAAATTGCAGTTGGACAAAACTTGTGGAATGAGATGTGCCAAAAAAAACCAATGGAAGAAGAAAAAAAAATCATCTTTAAAGTGTGAATGCTTGATAAGTAATAATGAACTTAGTGAAGTAAACTTCATGACCTGGTTTGACCGTGATAGTTGTAGTTTTTGTTTTTAAATTTCCCTTTAGACTTTGCGCTTTTGTGATTTCTCAAGGAGCCACTTTAATCAGCGTCTGTGAGAATATACATTGGCCTCACAACAGTGTAGAATGTGTACAGTGTGCTATATGTGCGTCCCGAGACACATGTTTTGATAACACTGTGGAGAGTGTGGGTGTGTTTAATGAGCTGACGATCAGGGAGACATCCTGCCTGCACATGTGCACCTGTTGCATAACCTGGTGGCCGCGCCATCCTGTGTTTTGCTGAATAGAGCGCAGCAGAGCAGCGCTGGGTTATGTAACCAGCCGAGCTCACGCCTGTGTGTGTGTGTGTGTGTGTGTGTGTGTGTGTGTGTCAGCTGAGGGCTGAGCCGAGAAACTTCATCAAAGCCGGGGAGCGTCTCTGTCCACAGTGCAGCTGCTGTGGAGCTGCGACCCTTAACCCCCGCAGAGGGTTTACCAAACATCCATCCTCTTCTTCCTCTTGTTTCTGAGATCTGCTGTCGGGGAAGAAAACATTTTTACAAAAGCTCCTGTCACAACAAGCAACGTACSTCTCCTGATGGGGGGAATTTGCCCGTGTGCAAATGATTTGTTCCTTTTTTTTTACTATTATTTCCTGCAACTCTTCACCGCCCACCCAGCAGCTGTTGCCTCAGTTTACATAATGGCTGACTTTCTTACTCATTTAASTGACGCTGAATAGACGAAGCTATAAGATGTTTTAATGCAGGAAATAATTTAATAGTTTTTTTTTTCATATGAAAATGTTCTATACTGTTCTAAATTAACCAACAGCAGATAAAGTTTCTCTTTTTTTTTTCTTCCTAGAAAAACACGACTTGTTGACTAAAGGTGTAAACACAGACTCGTGTTTGAAAGACAGCTGCCCTGACGCACCAGCTACCACCTCACCTCCTGGTAAATGTTCCCATTAACATTAAAATTAACTTTAAAATAAAAATCTCATCAAGGAAGTCACCGCTGAGGAGACGAGTTTGACGATTTTGTTGTTGGACGGCYGTAGTGTGTGTTTGACATTTCCAGCTGTAGAGTCCCTGAGAGGTTACTAACACAAACACTCTGAGGTGCGCACACACACTCAAACACACACACACACACTGAGGCGTGCACACAAAGAAACTTGATGAGGCAGATGGGAGTGACTCACACTTCTGAAGCCATGGATCACCTGCGCTGTAGGGGCACGCACGTGATCTCATCCACATCCTTCACCTCCTCTTCCTCCTCAGCCGTCATGCTGAGTTCATCCTTTCACTGRATTTCACTTAGCATATAAATAGCAAAATTGGTTTCTTTGTAAATTTTTTCTTGCAGCTGAATCATAGCTTTATTTTTAGACGAGGTCAGCTTGTATCAACTAGTTTTTGTTTTTTCTCTTTTAAAGTTTTTTTTCTTTAAAATATTTAGCTCACTGCGTATTTTTATGGGATATAATGAGTCATTTTTGGTTGTTATTGAGGCATATATTCTGGATTTAACACATTTAGATGTTCAGATGTTAAGCTTTTTTTGTTAGGCTCGTCTGTTTTGATCCCCCCTTTTCACATGTTGTGTGTTTTGTTACAGATGAAGATGATGGGATGGAGCGTGTGTGCGATACTCTTCGCATGTGTATCATCACTGTGTTGAACCAGGGGTTACGTAATGGAGGAGGTGTTGGAGATATTCTGAGGAAACCCTCTAAAATGGTCAGAACATCTTTTAAATTGACCTTTTTTCCTCCTAAAGTGTTTGCTGAAATAGTTTGCAGGTGATTTTTTTTTTAAATATTCATATTTTAACCCTCCAGGAACCTCTCTTTGCGGCTCGTGTGGTTTACGACCTTCTCTTCTTCTTCATCGTCATCATCATCGTGCTCAATCTGATCTTCGGCGTGATCATCGACACGTTTGCCGACCTGAGGAGCGAGAAGCAGAGGAAGGAGGAGATTCTTAAAACCACCTGTTTCATCTGCGGTGCGTGATTTAGGCCGCGCGTTCGGAAGGACGCTCGTTGAAGAAACGCTCGTTAAAGAGAGCTGCTGTCTTGCAGGTTTGGAACGGGACAAATTTGACAACAAGACGGTGTCTTTTGAGGAGCACATCAAATCGGAGCACAACATGTGGCACTACCTTTACTTCCTGGTCCTGGTGAGGGTGAAGGATCCGACGGAGTACACCGGCCCTGAGAGCTACGTGGCCCAGATGATTGCAGTCAGTACAACTCCTTTTCTATACATACTCAGCTTATACACACCCTTGAAAATATGGCTGTGTCCAAATTCAGGGGCTGCGTCCTCCGAAGGGCGATTTTGTCGGCTGCTTGAATCACAGCGCCGCGCCGGAGGCTGTCCAAATTGGAAGACTCCTCCGATGCGGCCAACAAATGCATCCTTCTTTTTCCCTGACTTGAGGGACGGGTCTGATGGATCCTTCTCGGCCCACCTTTTCCCATGATGCATTGCGGGCCGACCAATTTTTTTTCTTTTGCTCGTAATTCAAGATTCAAGAGTTTTATTGTCATATGCCCAGCAATGGTGGATGAATCAAGAGAAAGGAGTACAGTTTTAAATAAAAATCTGCCGGTATAAAAATTGAAAGTTTCAAGCGGTTGTGCTGTTAATGCTTTTTCATTTGTATAGACATGTTTTTAAACGTTCTCGTCAGAAATCAAACAAGCTAGTTTAGCTTAAAGATGCACCTACCTGTCCCTTAGTTTTTAAGAAATTTCCTTTAAGCTAGTTTTGTGACATTATTAATACTAATATACTGATTTTTGCCAATTTTCAATCTATTTTTGCTCTGAATCTGAAGACTAGACCGTCCCAATTCACAGCCACTTTTTTCCAGTCTTTGTGGTCTACCAAGGACTAGGCCCATAGACCGAGTAGGTCCTTTGAAGGACCCAGCCCCTGAATTTGGACACAGCCTGTATCATACTATTATTTGTTTGGTTTTGACTTTYATTAACACTTTAATATTAATAAACTTTACAATACTGGGTGGCATACTGGTTCATACCAAAAACTTTTTTTTGTTTTCAATTTTATATGAATTTTCCGAATATTGGTTTACAAAGCCTTAACTCGTTCTGGATGTTACATCACACCCACCAGGAAACCGTTTCACGGGGGACACTTTTTCTTGCAGCACCGCTCAACACGCTTACAGGGAATGACAGCACAAAGGACAACTATTGTCGTTGGAGCCGTCTTCTCAATAACTGGCAAAGGGTGGCGATTTCGCAGCTTATATTGACTGACAAGAAAAAAAAGCTGAATAGTACACCTCTTCAGATAGATTTCATGCACAAAATAAATTTGCCCAATAATGATCTTTGCTCAACCCTTCTCCTTCATGACTGTAAAATGAATCATTTAGATTGAACCTTGGAGGAACACTCCGTATTAAACATACACAAAAAAAATAGTAGTAATATTAATAGTAAGAATAAGAATAATAAAAATAAAGTAACATTAAAAAATGTGATATAATAAAAAAAAATTTTATATACGTGTATATAT